GAGAGAGAGAGAAAGTTGACATTAGATATACAGACATGAATGTAAAACTAAATTATGTGTAACACGAAACTCTTCCACCAGGGGGCAGGTGTTCCTAACAACTCTCCTACATGTGAGGAACTACTGTGTCTACTAACGTACAGTATTTACAGTTCTAACTGTTGGAGCTGTGACTTGTATACAATGTGTGTGAACAGCTGTTTGATGAGGTTGAAAGGACCGTTTCATTTCCCGTAGTTTAGACAAAAGCATCTGCATGTGGTTATGGCAGTGGATTCTGGCCTGGGCTAATAGCACTTTGACAAAGACTGGCCATTGTCAACCAGAAAAACTCGTGCACTCGTGCAAGCTGCATGCTGAAAAATGACAAAAGTGCAAAATTGACTGCATGCTACCGGACACCCACGCAGACCATCTCTCTCTCTCTCTCTCTCTCTCGTCCTTCCTGCCTCTCTCTCCCATTAGACTTTTTAAGGCAAACCCTGAGCAGCTGCTGGCCAGCCCATGTGACATCTGCAGTGTTGGATCAACATGAAACGTTGCTGGATGGGGCACAGAGACAGGGGGCCATTTCACACCAGTCCCCCTGCCTGAGTAAAGACAGACCATGACACAAAAGTGCAGCGCTTGAATGGTACGCTATAGTTAACTGTGTGTGTGCTTGCTCAAACAAGGCAGACGATCCACAGCTGCTCAACATTTTCCCAACACCAGCCGCTGCACTCGACTAGTTACTCAAATGCAAAAGCTGCAAAATGAACGGTGAATCTATCACTTGATGGACACATGAGACTGTGTGTGCACCCTCCCCCCTAATATCTTCTGCTAGTACACCCCAACCCCCTGAGCTGCGAACAGTGAGGGGCTGAACCAACACAGTGAGGAGAGGGACGGCAGTTTATGCAGTTCGATCAGAGCCAGATGTGTGTGTCTGTAAGAGATCCAGGAAGAGAAACTTGGGACAGTGTGCTGCTTCAGAGCCTGGCGTGTACAGCCCATCTTTACAGCGTCTGTGTGTGTGTGTGTGTGTGTGTGTGTGTGTGTGGGGTGAACTTTGATGGTGTTTTGGGATATGTTGCGTCGTCCTGAGCGGAAATGTGCAGAGACATGCGTGTGTGTGTTCAATATCAGGGTTAAGGAAGCAGAGAGATGTTTCTCATTACTTCACAGACTGAAAATAAAAATCTGTATCAATGTATGATCCATTAACGCACCGTCGCTGCCAGTAAAAATGCCAGTTGTTGTTCCAGTTGATGTATTTTAAATGAATATCGTCACATAAGGGCAAGTAAGGTCAAGTCAACCCTCATTATTGAATGACTTGACTGACTACCAAAGTCACCATTTGTTTTAAATTTGATTTCTTTTTTGGGGGGGGATAAGTTAGACAAGAAGATTTATACCACCCACATGTCTGTACGCTAAACATGAAGTTATGGCCAGCAGCCGTCTAACTTAGCCTCGTACAAAAACTGGGAACAGGAGGAAAAGAGTGGCTCTGGCATACAAACTGTCGTTCTAGCCTTTAAGCGAATGTTAAAGGCATCCTGTGGGAGAAAAACAGTGCACTTTGGTGAGTAACACTCAATGTAAAAATAACTTGTTTACAAGAAAACTCAATCTTTTCTATTTTATTATTTTTAGTTATTTCTCAGGGACGGTGCACATTAACAAACATTGCTGTAAATACGCCAGAACATGGCTAGTTTCCATGCTAAGTTAACTGGCTGCTGGAGGTAGCTTCATCTTTACAGTAGACACGAGAGGCATGGTTTTAATCTTCTCATTTAACTCTTGGCAAGAAAGTAAATACTTCATATAATGTTGAATTATTCCTTTCAGTGTACAATTTCTTGTGTTCTTTCTCATCTAAGTGAACTGATGGCAGCCCTGATATCATTGCCGTGTGGTTGTGTTGGGCACTGACAAAGAAGAACTAGTTTAAGTGCAGCTGTACGTGCTTGTGTGTCTATATTTAACCATGTTTGAATGAGTCCTTACCAGTGTCCGGTCGGGGGGATGAAGTATATGCAGCAGTGGACTCTGGAGTCTGGAATCCTTTTCTTCCTGTTGATGTTGATCTCCTCCTGCAGGTACGCCTCGTACTGGTCATTAATGAACTTCATGATGGGCTGCCAGCTAGAGACCGCGGCAGGGATGGATTGAGGGAGGGATGAGGGAGGAGAGGAAAGGGAAGAGATGGACAGATATTAGAGGAAACGAGGAAGCAGCAGGAGGATGGGTGAAGAGAATGAGACAAAGAGTGAGGAGGAAGATAAGGATTTGGAGTGGAGGGGAACAGGAAAATGAAGGGGAAAGGGAGGGGCATATGGTTAGACACAATTTAAATCTTTCCGTTTATACAGTCAATGCAATGATGGTGGAATTGTAGCGCACCAGTTCTCATTGTTGATCTGGTCTCCAAAGCCCGGTGTGTCAATGACTGTCAGCTTCATTCTCACTCCCTTCTCCTCGATATCTGCACACAAAGAGACACACATGTCGTCAAAAACACCCTGGGAACTTTATAAACAACTACTGAACCAGGCATTGTGGATGAATCAATTCAGAAACTGATCATCTGTAATAAATGGGAGGCTAAGAATACAGTATATTCAGAGATTGTTTTAGCAATGATTATATAGAAACTAAAAAGAATTACAATTAAAGAAAAGAAGGAATGAAAGTAGAGAGAGAAAAAGATATGCTACTATAATTGTTTGGAGTGACTTTGCCACGGCTGACAAAGGGAAAAGTGGAAATACAGAAGGTAAGAGAAGAAAAAGTAAAAAGAGAGTGAGATGGGTGTATTTCGGCTGACAGACCTACAGAAACAGCCAGACAGAGAAGAAGGGACACACAGATGAGTTGAGGGTTTCAAAAAAGAGCCATACCATGACTGATGGACTTTATTTCGATGGTTTTGGGGATCTTCTCCTGGGCCGTCGCCAGCACAGACTTACGGCTGACTTTAGACTTGAACAGCGTGTTCATCAGAGTAGACTTTCCCAGGCCGCTCTGACCTGTAAGCAAAAACAGTCAGAGAGACAGTGAGAAAGACATGATGAAAAAATAAATAAATCTTCTACAGTAACTGCTTACACTGCAGGTACCCAACAGTCTACACACTGTAACAATGGTGCCATAACAAACCCAAACAAGACTCGGTGATTATTTTCCACGACAGTTTAAAAACGACTCCACTCGGTCAGTCTGTTGGGCTGAAACAGTGACAAGCTGCAGGTGTCTGTCTGCACAAACACTGCCTGCAAAGCCATCAGCAGGCATGAACGCAACCCAAACACAGCATCAATAAGACAGACTGGATCCTTACTATGTATACAGTTTTGTTTCTAAAACAGCCAGGAGGCTTGGATTAATGTGGCTTAATGATTAATGTGAGTGACCAGAAATAAATTAATTCATCACAAAACCCTAAGAGTCCCACAATAGTCCCTCTCTGTGAATCAGTCTGTCTATATGGATGGGACCATGTGTGACCCCTGCACATAATGCTAACATCACTGCAGGTTAATGAAGAGGAGTTTGGAGGGGCCCACTGGGCGATCATTCACAGTTCAACTTCAGGTTAAGTCAACAGCGAGACCTTTACAGATTTATGAAGATGCACACTCGAACTCAGTCACATTGACAGGCAGTCAGCAGCAGGTTACATGCAGACATGGATCTTTACAACCAGTGAAGACGCCAACAGCTGCAGATTATACAAAGGAGAAAATGACTTCGGCTGGAAGTTTAAGAACTGATAACGACTATCAAATACAAAGCTTTGGCAGCATTGATGCCACAGCTTCCAGCTGTTTCTGTAACAGCTGTATTTCCTAAAGAGTCTCAGTCCAACATTCTTTCACTAACAACCATCACTAACAGAAACGTGGTGCCAAAGTCCCACGCTTGCTTATGCGGTATGCCACAGAAGTACAGATTTGGTTTTAAATTATGATTCAATTAATCTTGAAAAGAGGAAATATTTTACCTGACTAAATATCTTCATAACATCGATGATAAAAAAAGGATAATAATGCATCTTCGTCATCAGATACAGACTTAATTTTTCTGTCTTCCCTCTTTTTGGCCCAATTCTGCCCAATAAAAAAAGGAAAAGGGACTCCACCTGCTCTGAGTGTATTGCTTTCACTGTTTGTCCTCATGCTAATACAGCACTTAATCATCTATATCAAATCTCTGAAGAACTCTCATGACCATACAGATACCAACCCAATCATCCAATTTTAAAATGCATCACTCCTTCCTGCCCTCTCTTTTTAACTGGTGGAATATAATTTCACCTGATTGCAAAAACCACATGGGAGACCAACTTTGTTCACTTTTGTTTAGCATTGCCTCCACAACCTTACACAACTCCATCTCAACCCGGAGGCAAGCTGTTTTCAATTTGAGGATGAAACACAGACCAACCCGTGCAACATCATCAAGAGGAGACACACAGTAGGGAGGTGCCGTGGGTTTTATGGTGGCCTGTCTACTGTGGAGGGGCGTGTGTGTGTGTGTGTAATTAGCTCCTGTTTTAAAAAGGTGTCTAATCACAGTGATGAGGGCTCAGTGAGAGTTTCAAGTCCTACTGTGTGCTTATTAAAATAAGTTTGAGGCCTCCATGTTCTGTCACAACTTGATTAAGAGAGAAAACCTGAATAACAGGAGCCATTTTTTTTTAAAACAGCTGACTGAAGATGTTTTGAGATAAACACACATTTAAGCGTAATGGCAAACAGATTGACACCCTTTCAGTTCACAGTATGTTATTATGCACGCAGCGCAGCCCTGATAATATGAGATTTGAGGCACAATCCTGGAAACAGGCAGACATCATTAACCTCCATTGGCATCCTACTGTAATAATTCACGCTGCAGCCTGCAGTCTTCGTCAGGGGCAAACGCAGGTATATTTTCTAAGCCTAACGTATGTCTTTTTGTGGTGTTTGGATCTGGAAACATGCGGTACTCACCAGCCATAATGTTGAGCTCGAAGCTGCTTCATGGCCTTCCTCTCATCTGCTCCAGGAATGGGTCAATGCCACATACTGAAGTCCACCGCAGGACCCAGCCCCTTCTCCCCATAAAATCCACATGCTGGGGACCAACGGCATCGGGACACCGCCTCAGACTGGCACTGCTGCTGTAGCTGGAATCAAAACTTCCGGCTGGATGTTGAAGAGAAAGAGAAAAGAGGTTAGAAGGAATGAGATGGATATGATGAGGAATTAGGTATGAGGGGAATGTGGGTGGAGAGACAGATTAATGTCTGATTAGCAATGTGAGATATAGAACAATGAATATGGGAGTGTTGGAAACATCACACAAGAAGGAGAACAATGAGATCCTGAGAAAGAATTACAAGGAACACTTATGTACTGAACTGTCGAGTTACAACAAAAGCCTAAGTAATGGCATCATATTTCGGAAAGTCTTGTCTTTTTCTGGCCGGTTAGTATGAAAGCCCTCTCATTGTGTCCGTTAAAATAAGCTACAGCCAATCAGCAGTTTTGATACAGCTGGCTCTGTCTTAAGCAATATCAGCCTACAGCACTTCGAAAGTCAGATAACCAATATCTCATTTGTTTACTACATACAAAGCAGTTCAACACATCAACTTGGCTGCTGGAGGAAGACATTTTACAGATACTTGCTAACCAAATGAGGTGGGAGGCCGGCTCCCGCCCCCTACTGGTTGTTTCCCCTTTCATATCAAATGTATATTCTATTTGTCCCCTTGATAAATCCTACCTTTTAGTATCACTTCCTCTGCTCCGATGGTGTATCATGTAACGTCTGGTGACTGCTGTCAATGGGTACCATTACATCGGTCTTTGTATTATTCCACGGTATAAGTACTTGTATTCATTTTGCTCATTTGCTCTGGGTCCGCTTACCGACTCACACCTGCTCTGTGTATGCAAGTTCACCAGGATGCTTAATTAAACTGACACCACCACGGAAAACCTCAACTGGACTTGAATGATTTTTCTTCAACACTGCTTTACAGTTACGGTTAAGTGCCAGACTATTTCTTGGCTCAAGCAGTTGCCAGAAAAGGTTGTTAAGTGGTCGCTAGTCTCGTACATAATCCCCCAATAAAACTGCAAAAACTACACTTTCAGACTTCTTCTGTACGGATTAAAGGAACGAGATGGGTTAATAATTACTGAGCTTCTAACTTATCTTCTCATTTAACTCAGCAAAAAAGCAACCAAGTGTATTTCTCTGAATGTCAAACTACTCCTGTAATTAATTAACTAATCATGAGCGACTTCTTGATTCATGAAAATCAAACTAGACATAAAAAAAATAAAATAAAATAAAAATAAAAATAAAAAACGTACTAAACTTCCTGCTTATCAGTAGTTTGGTTGCACCAACTGGAGAACTGGTGCAAATGTGGTCGATAGATCTGCTGAGTTGTTTTAGCCTGCTTTTTAAAATCAAACAACACACACACACATCTATTAAAAACACCTCCAGACTTTCAAACAGAGACGATTGCTGATTTCACGCCAACACAGACTTTTGACTCAACAGAAAACTATTAGAAAATATACTCTGTAGTATTTAAGTACTTTGCACTTGGCAGGAGGTCATCCCCGCAGTTTGTTTTGATAATGATTAGTCTAATGTCTTTCCGTGGAATTCCTTACGAATGTGTGTCCAACCGTAAGAAAAATATTCAACATTTGTCCGACGAAGGTCCGTTAGCAGCCACAAGTGCGCGTGCAGAAAGCGGCCGCAGCTCTGCTTAACAACGTGTTAAGTCAGCGCAGGTGAAGAATTTACAGCGTGTGTGTTTAGTGTATGTACAGCACTTCATGTAGCAGCTACCCCCTTCACGAGGCCTCCCTTTGCCTCACTCTCCACAGTGCAGCGTTACTGTCCTGTTAATGTGAGAGTGGAAAAGAGAGAGAGAGACTGCTGAGGCTGAAACTTGATCCACTCCAACTCGCCTGGGTCACACACACACACACACACACACACACACAGACAGAGAATACACGCTTGTGTTTTGTACTCGTACACATTCAGCCTTTCGTCCTTTTGATCACATTGCTGACCTGTAGACACACACACACACACGTACAAGCACATTAAACCTTGAACACACACACGTACCGTCAGCCTGGACTGGCTGCCAAGAATTAACAGCTATTAAATTCCAGCTCAGGCACAAATTTTACTCCAGAACAGTCGGCCTGCCACGAGGAGAAGAAGTCCAGACAACGAGCCGGTTCACTCCTATCACTCTGGGAATTAAATCAACAGGGAATGACACTACACACTTCAAACTGGCACTTGCCTGATTAATGGATGAAATTCAGTGAAGAATAACACTGCTGTGGAAACTCAAGTTCATATTCAACGTTGAGTCTTACTTTTTATAATGTGCTCCATTGTGTGTGTGTGTGTGTGTGTGTCATAGAGACCCACCTATGGAAGCAGCTCTCCTGGCCTCTTTCACCACTTCCCCATCCTGTTCCAGCAGTCAGTCAGCGACTGCTGACTGTGACTTACTGCCCTCAACCTCTCCTCTGCACCTCCCACATTCCCATACCTCTGCTCTTGTCTCTCTCTCTCAGCCTCACCCTTTTCCTTTCGCCGCACATGGATTCTCCCTTATCTCTCTCGTCTCTCTTGTCGTCAGTTTCCCCTCTCCACTCACTCTTAGTTTTCTACGGTTACTCCTTCAACCTTCTTCCTCCCTCCTCCTGCTCATCTGGCTTTCATCTTGAGCATGACATTTATTGTCCCTTTTCTGAACTCTCCTGAAGTCACCTCTTTTAATTACCTCCATCTCCACCCCACACAAACTTTGTGTCTTTCTAACCATTGTATTTCATGTCAATCCTTCCCTCCCTCTGCCTCCACAGCTATGTGTTGTAAACAGAGATGTTGGCCAGGGGCTAGCACACCTTGACAGGCAAGGCAGCAACAAGTGAGCCCCACCTGAGGCCGGATACCAGGAAGGCATCAAAGGGACGGGACATAAAGTGAACTGGGTTAACAGACACTTGA